GGAAAATCATTTGCAATATATCAGGTAATTCAAAATCATAAATTGAAATACAATGCTTGAAGTAAAGCAAAGCATAAAATGTCAAGCTAAATGATGATGACTCAACCATTTTAATGATCATGAGGTTTCAGCTAATTTTTAGCTAACAGCACATGAAAATCTTTTCCCTCAAACCTAAAAACTAAAATAAATAAGAAACACTTTATGCCAACACGTTTGAATATTGCTGAAAGAAAGACACACTGCTAAAGCTCTTCATCTTGCACTCATCAAGACAAGTGAAAGACTGACAAATTGTGAATAATCATAATATATACTTTAATGAGAAGACCTTGAATAGGTTTGGCCATTACACATTGAAGTTTAGAAGAATGAGAGACAACCTTATTGAAACAAACAAGGTTCTTACGGGAACTTGGTAAGGTAGATGTGATGAGGTTGTTTTATTAGTGGGAGAGTTAGGACCAGACGGTATAATTTCAGAATAAGGGACCACCTAGAGATGAGGATCAATTTCTTCTTTCAGAGGGTAATGAATCTGTGGAATTCTTTACTGCAGGGGGCTGTCGAGCTGGGTGGCTATGTATATTTTAAGCTGAGATAGACAGATTCTTAATCTGTAAATGAATCAGTGGTTAAGGGGAAGAAGCAGGGAAGCAGAGTTGAGGATTATCAGATCAGCCATGACCACAGTGAATTGCACATCAGACTCGATGGACTGAATGACCTACTCTGCTCCTACATCTTACAATTTTACAGGAGAAAAGATGCTAATAGATTAACAAGTTGATTCTGATTGCATGAAGCATTGCAATGGAGAATGCAATGGGAGAATTTTCAGCTTCCCAACTACGGGCAATTTAGCATGGTTGATTCACCAAACATGCACATCTTTGGACTGTGGGAGGAAACCTGAGTACCTGAAGGAAACCCACACAGGCACTGGCAGCTAGACTGCCATAAAAATGCACCACACAGATATAGCAATGGGACCAATGCCTAAGTATATTGGGTAGAAGCTATTCCAACACTAAATTGATATGCTTTGCATGTGGCTTGTATTCACAAAATGGATAGAATATAAACGGATTCTATCCTAATAGAATAATAGCAGAAACAGAACGAAGCATGCACCAAGCAATAAGAAAATTGGAACGAAGAGGGATTGAGAAAAAGGTGAGGCAGGAAAATTGTAAAACAAAGAGGAAACAAAAAAATGTAACTAAGCAGCAGGAGAAAAAAGTCCTAAAAAAGGAATTCCAAGTATTGAAATACATTATACTAGTCATATCAGTTTAACAGTGAAAATATCACACAACCACTTTTGTGCTGCACTGTACATTTCTTCTTGAAGGCTTTATTTTTAGCATTAGTGAAATGACACATTGTGAATAAAAGGTGAATAAGGTGAATGACAAATGAGTCCGTCCTTTCTATTTACCCTGACTTTGGAAAAATGAAACAAAGAGCAACTCAGGCTTGATAAAAGAAACTATAATTAATTATTGAAACAAACTTTCAATCCTGATGTCACCGACTGGATAGTGGGCTATGGTAGTTCACCTAAAGCATGTATTCTAGTCAAACCCAGTGATATTTCATTCTGCTACACCACCTTTTCCATAACATATTGTACCAATCAACTGCAACCACTTGGATGTTAGCCTGGATATTCTTTAAAAGAAATCCATTAAAACAAAATACAGATATGCACCATGTTCTATTTGCTTCAACACTTTAAAACTGATACAGCAAAAATGTTGCAAAATTCAAAGACTCAATCCATTACAGTCAAGGAAATAGCTTACTAAGCCTTTCTGTCATCTCCCTGCCAGCTCAGCTTCGAACTGTCAAGAGAATTGTGTAATTACAATGTAATAGTGATTGGTAAATAATCAGTCTGACCTTTTATGGGGAGTGTATACTGGTATAAAGGCTGTGATGCCTGGCCAGATTTAAAATCGGATGGACAGATCACCTTTGCCAGTGTGGACGTCTTGCAGTACAAAATAAGTCATTCCAGTTGGGAAGCTCTGCAGCTGTAGCTGTGTCTGTTTGTATCAAGTGGGGAGGGGTGGGAGGAAAGTAACTTTGTGGGCCTGCAGGGTTTACCAGAGCCACAACCCCCTGAAGTCCCTTGCCTTTAGACTTCCCCGACCACACTGCGTCTTTAAAATCCATCACCCCAACTTACTCTCCAGTACCTGCCAATGTGGGCACTGCAAAACCCGTGTCTTATCTGTCAATCCAGGAGCCTTGGCATGGAGGAGGTATATATACCTGGCTAATGATTATGATCCTCCATTTACAAGTAGTTTCAGGAGTTGATAACATAATCCTAATGCAACGTTACCAGTATAATCGTTCACTAAGTGCCATATTTTCTTCCCCTGAAATGGAACGGCCACAGATATAAGAATAATGATGGTTCACTGTATATTTCAGTAAGGTCCAGCATGTGAACTGCTGCACAACCACTCCTGTTACATTATGAGAACTTACATAACTGGGAGAGATGTCAAAGAGTCCTGCGCACAATTTGGATTGGATTTTACGGAGACATGTAGGGTCTTGTCTGCTGGTTGAAGAGCCAGTGAGAGACAGTGTTGCCTCCTTGGTAAAGGCCTGTTAGTATTGTGCCACACAGGCACTGAAATAGGTAGCATTGGTTCCTTGGCATCAAGAACCCCAGGGTGGAATTCCTACCCATTGACAGTTGCTAGCCAATGGAGTCACGAGAGGGTTGCTGCTGGAACTATAACTATTAGAGGTCCAGGGTCAAGGAGCAATCCAGGCCCCAGGTAAATAAAGATTACATGGGCATTATGGGGAGAATGTCATTGGCAGACGGGTGTAGAGGGATTGGCAGCAAGAGCAGGTGGGTGGCTCTCAGAGGATTCTCCCCCACCCTTCCCATGCTGCAATCAGGCAATGAGTACTTTGGAAGAAGGCTCCTATCTCCGACCTTAGACGACCACAAAGAAACTGTACAGTTTTACCTTTTGTATGCACTGCATGCCAACAGACTCACCACCATTGGGTTAATACCAGCAGGAGACAGCTACAGTTGAAATGTACTTGCTGAATGTTGAAGAGATGTTCAGGATAGGAGATGGGAGATAAGTAAGTACCTCTCCATGGGGAGCTATAAATCATTAAATTATGTCTTCAGTACTGGAGATCAGAGACACCAGTTCACAGATGAACTGTACCATAATCATTTCAAGATTCCTTCAAACGTTTTGCATTGAAATTTCACAAATGTTTGCAGATATTAAAGCTACAGCATTATGTTGAAGGTTTTTTTTTAAAACTTTACCTTCCTTGCTTGAAAGCAGTTTTATATTTCAGATGTTCTCTACTTCACCACAGTGGTCATTCTTTATACAAGCGTGGACAGTACGTGTGGTTAGCAATTCAATCCAGGAAGATATCCCTGCAGAACCCACAGTCCTTCCACAGTCAATATCCAAATGAATGCACTTCAGATGTGGGATTCCTGCTAATTGTCTATTGCTTCCCTGCCCTGCCCCAAATGACACTTAATATTTGACATATTTGCACAAACTACTGCAATAAGGACTTTGCAAAGTAAATATCAAAGTTTACAAATATTGATCTCCATCAAGACAAACAGATGGTAATAATTCAGCAGGGAAATAGTGGACAGCTTATAAATCTGTGAGGGTAATGATGCCTGAGGTTCACAAGCACTAGATAACTCTGGAAAACTGTGGAAAATTACATTCACATTCAATAGAAAACGTCATGTCTCAAAACCACTCAATTTCAAGGATTGTAACACCTCCCGCCTCCTCTCCCCCAGTTTGCTGGTTTCTCTCCATCCTCTCACAGTTTGTGTTCTGCTTTCACCTTCTTTCACACAGTTCATGTTTCACAACCTCTCACAGTCTGTGGTTCTTCCACTCAGCTTCCCTCTCTTTATGTTTCTGAGGAGGCAGATGGATAGTGCACAAGACTGGGGAGTAGTGGTAAGGGACAGTACATGCAGGGATCCCCCTGGGAAGGTCAGGGAAGTCTGACACCCAGTTCTTGGAGGCTCAGGAAAGATCAGGGAAAACACTTCAGTTGCCAACATTTCAAGCCCTGACAAATCCAACTCACAGCTGTTAATTTCATAGAGCCAATAAAATCTGAGACAGGCCATTGTGATAATGTATTATAGACCCACCTCTTGAGAGCAGGTTGTTCATCAATCTCCCAACCCTCCCTGGTCAAAGCAAGGGTAGGCACATACGCAGCAGGTTAGGGTTGAGTTTCCCATATTTCTAAAATTTAACCTGTCTCTATGGCCACTGCCCCATCTACCCCGTGGAATTAAACTTTCAACAAAAAGTGTGAGAGGAATTGAAACGGAATATTAGCTTAACTAAGATTCTAAGTACCTGTCCCACTATAATTAAAGAAAAAAGCAGGCTTTCTCTCCTCTCGTGTCCCAGAGGTTCGGTCTCCAGACCATTACCATTACTCATTGAGATGTGTTCTGCTCATAATCTCATTTAAAATGCAAGTTTGAAATTTGGTTCATTTAAAATAAAATGCTTAATCCACAAATTAGTTACAAAGGCCATGACAAGATTGATTTATTTTGCACCATGTACCTTCTGATTAGTGGATTCCTATATATGTTGATGCAATAGAACCTAAAATAAATCAAGTGGTGGAAATTAATGGGTATGCTGGATGCATAAGTTATAAATTAACTAGTAAAGGACATGACTGTTTAAACTTCCAGATTTATGAAAGCACTTCTTTGAAGTGCTTATAATTCTGCAGAAAAGGAAATGCACATGCAGCTGGATATTTCACGTGGTCAATGAGTAAATGAGAGAAGTCTAGCTTGAGCCAAAACTGCATTGCTAGTACACTGCTGTATTTGCTTCCAATTCTTCTTAACTGCAACAGAAAGAGTCACCATGGAATTTTAATACAGTATGGGTTTTATGAACACTTCTTAAAATAAAAACCAGATTGCTTACCATTTTTCCTGTAAAACATGATATCTCCTTTAAATTCTGTCTTTTCGTCCAAACCTTTCTCGATTTGAAGTGTCACCTGTTCATTTGTCTCAGCACCATATAAAAACTTACAGCTACAGCTCTTCTGCATGACTTCAGTGCGAGCAAACCCAGTGAGTTCACAGAAGCCATCTGAGCAATACACTATAGGGAATCCCTTTGCCACCTGTGCGTTTGCAAGAATAAAGTTACTGTCTGTAAAAAAACAGAGAAAAGAACAGAGATTAGAAAAGGATGTCTTTGTTAGAGCTTCTGCTTTACGGTTTCACAGTTGCAGATTCAAACACTAGACCAGTGCTTCCCAAACATTTTCCCATTGTGACCCCATTTTGATGTTTGAAAATTGTCATGGTCCCTCAGTGATTGGTGGAATGGGGAGGTGAAGATCTATGTTGCTTGTTGCTCTCAAGCATGCTATGTTTGACACGTGTCAGACAGTATTTAACAGAGGTGGCAGAAGTCTTGTTCACTGGCTGGAGAACTGACAAGAGCTCTACATTACCTCTTTTTTGGGAAAGCTGCCACATAAGAGCTATTTAGACACTTAGCTGATCAAAGGCAGACCTTCCCCGAATTCAAACATAGAAGTCCTACAGGGTGGAAGCAGGTCATTTGGTCCATCGAGTCCGCACTGCCCTGCTGAAGAGCATTCTCTCCCACCGACCCCCACCCCACCCGCAGTACCTACCCTGTAATCCTGCATTTCCCATGGCTAATCCTCATAGCCTGCACATCCCTGGACACTATGGGCAATTTAGCATGGCCAACCCACCTAACCTGCACATCTTTGGACTGGGGGAAGGAAACTGGAGTACCTGGAGGAAACCCATGCAGAAAAAGAGGAGAATGTGCAAAGTCCACACAGGTAGTGGCTCAAGGACGGAATCAAACCCAGGTCACTGGCGCTGTTAGGCAGCAGTGCTAACCGCTGAGCCACTGTGCCGCCCTACAGTGGAAGGGGCAACAAGCATGAAAGTAGGAGCTAGTAGGAAATGGCACAAGGGGGCTGGAGGTCCCACCTGCCAAGTGCCGGCTGGCCAGTCAGATGGAAGCAGTGATCATTGCTCAGATTCGCCATGGTGCTTGTCGGTGGTACTACACCCTTCTAAGACCGCAGAAACTGTGTGAGGGACATTGGAGGGAGGGAACAAAGGGAACGGGTTTGGCAACAAGGGGAAGGGGGATATGACTGGATAGGTTTCCATGAGACTTCCCACCATGGACTGACTCAGGTCAGAGGCTGGACAGTGGCAGAGTCCCCATCCAAACCTTCACACCTTATTAAACATTCCCCACTGCCAAAATCACAATGGGGCTGAGCATTATATTCCACCCACGACATTTCAAATTACTCACATACACATGTAAAATTATCTTCTAAAGAAAATCCAATTTTGTTAGATAATTAAATCATATTTACCATATGTGTGTGAGTATACAGCAATTTGCCAGCAATTATCAATTCTTCTGAGTAAATTATTGGTCCCATAATGATTTCATAATTCTTGTTTCTCATTTTGAAAATAGAAGTTGAGGGAGCTCTGTGTGCATTCCTACTGCTCTGTGACACATTTTTGAGACATTTGACTTCCACAACTTTTCATTTTCCTTACAATACCTTCTGTACTGAATTCTTCCAGCACTCTGCCAAGGTCAAGATAATAGCTAGGTCTCCATGGGAGCAATTTCAAAAAAGCAAAGTCAAGCAAAATTCCTGCTGTCTTGTGGCAAATGACTTGGGATAAAGCTTCAATACAAAATGTTTCCTTTTTTAAATCTGTGAAGGTAGTAACAATGAAATCCTTATTAATCTCAGCATTTTCCTATTCCTACTTTAGTAAGCACAACATATTTAATTACAGTCGATGAATAGTGACACATGTATTGATATCTATTTTGGGGAGTATATTTTACCATCTGACAAAATTTTCTCAGCAACTATAGAAAAACTCAAGCAAAAGTGAACCAGAAGTATACTTTTTCTTGCTTCTAGTTTGCAGCCTTTAATTCACGAAAGAATTGGCAATTTTGTAATCACAAGTTTCATGAATCATGTTCTTCCTTTTATAAGACGGTGAGCAATAATTCTGCTCAGTGCTTGGAAAAAGAAAAGAAACAAACTTGAAACAGTCACAAAACTTTCAGGCAGTCAACTGGATATTTGATTTTGAAACGTTCCTGCCATAAATCACAATTTTTAATGATTCGGTGTTTAAATGCCATCACATGCAGAACCCGGATGAACACAAGAGGGCAGGAAATTTCTCAATGCTGTGCCTTGGTAGTTTCCCCGAAAATGTTCTTATCTTTAGGAAATCTTGAGTGATGTGGGATGTGTTTGCCCACTCAACAGCGGCAGGTAGTCACATAGGATAAATTATCTGCCTTCTGGTGGCAAATTGGTGACACTATTAGGATATTCCTAACAGTGGGTGGAACCCTGCTAAAGGCAAAACCAATGGGAATCTAGAAAGGGCCTCCTAGAGGCAAGCCAGGAGGTCAGCTGTTAATGCTACTTTTAATTCTGTCTCTCCAATTACCGGGGAGCTGTGAGGACGATGGGCCACAGTTGCAGTCATGGGCCTCCTCTCTGCAGAGATTCCTGGTCCACCATGATGGCTCACCAACTCCATTTTTAAACATTCAGAAGTCTTCAGAGGACATTTCCAAACTTGGTGCGCTCATGGTTCCCTGCCCATATCAGTAGTAACTGGTGGGACACCCAACCACCCAGAGCCGGCCACTCCTATTGGCCTTCCCACCTTCTTTAAATGAACTTGATTACTTACGTTAAGATAGAGAGAAAAAAAAACAATCAGGATATGAACAGGAGATGAAGGTTGAAGGTAAAATTTTATGACAAAATGTTTAAATTATTTTCAAAATATATTACTTGTCGTGTGAAACTGAAGGGATTTGACATTCTATGAACATCAATTATATTGTCAGTGTCTGAAAAACCTTTAGCAATAGTTATGAACTTACTAAGCTGTTAAAAACCCAGTTACACTTTATGCAACAAGGTGTGACATTTTCATGGTTTTTATAAGGAGACTAATTGCATAAGGATAGAAGTGCTCATCATATTCAAAATTTCTAATTGATTGCAACCTTGGGAGACTTCAACAGTGTGCCCACAGGAGAAGCACAGAACTGCTTCTGTTTTTGTTGCTGGAAGCAGCTTACAGTTTTCCATGTTTATATATGTGTGAGCTCTGAAACCTGCTCTCAGTTTCAGGTTGGTCATGGAACCTTGGAAGGGGTCATGAACTTAGAACATACAGGGCTCTAATCAGAGGCAAAGTTTTTAGAAGGAGGAGGAATGATCAGCTATGATGGAGAGAGGAGGTTAAAGGTAGTATGCAAGCCTAGGTGAGGGAAGACAGCCGCACCTCCTGGCCCACAAAAAATACTGTAACAGCTTTTCCATAAAGCAGTCCATGTCTTTCTTCAGCTTTCAGCTTTCCCCAAGGTCACATAGGGTTAAGAATGGCAGACAGATTAAGTATGGGACAAACAGCCTCATAATAATATCTGAATAGCCAATGTGCTCCTGGCAGTAGGTTTGTTACCCACCCTTGTTCTGCTTCTATTAAAACCAGGAAGAAGCAGATTGGAGACAGTAAGAGGCCAGTTTTGAGATTTTTCCAAGTTTAGAATCCCACCGCAACCCCACCTTTTAAATAGTCCATGATGTTGAAACATTAATGAGTTCAGTTTTTAAATGTGAGACCAAGCTAAGTGCAAAGACAACCTACAAAATATTAAAACTAAAGCTTTAAAAGATTCCTGGTAATCCAGTTAACTTACTTTAAAGTTTTAGACGTAGACCTGAAAATGGGATCAAGGGGATGGGCCTTGCTCTGCATGTGCTGATTTGTAAAGTAACAGGGACCACAGAAAAGTTCTAATTCAATCCCTTACACAAAGATTGGTGTGCTGCTAATATTATGTACCATGTCTATAGGCAACTTGAGAGAAGGAGTCGCACAGTGGCTGCGAGCAGCATGAAGCTGTTTATTATTGGACAATATATCTCGAGGAACACCAAATAGGTCACTAAGGTCTTCCGATACACATCTGGAGATCCCTGTCCAGGAGTCTGGAAGGAGGAGACGTATTGTGTCCACTTTAAGGAGCAGAGTGTGTAGGCAATGCAGAATTTTAACTGTCACCTCATTTAATCTCTCCTCATACCTGCATCATGTGTATAACCCTTGTATTTGCACCTCTTTCATCTCACAACATCATAACACCACACTTCATTTCAACAACTTCTATGCATACTCACACACGTCATTTCCTCTGCAGGACAGAAAATATTTAAAGGTAAATCAGAAATGAAACAAAATCATCGAAATGTTACATTACAGAAGGAGGACATATGGCCCTTCATGTCTGTGCTGCCTCTCTAAATGAGTATCTCACTTATGGTCATTCTCCTGCCTTCTCTCCACAATCCTGCTCATTGTTCTTTTTGAAATAACATCTTACTTCCTTTTGAATGCCTCAGCTGATTTGCCTCCATCACACTCTCAGACAGTGTATTCTAGAATCAAACAACTCACTGTGAGAAAAAGCTTTTATTATCACCTTTGTTTCTGTTAAAAATTACTTTATATCTGAGCTCTCTTGTTCTTGATCCTTTCAGAAGTGGGAACATTTTCTCCTTATTAAGTCTGTTTAGTACTTTCATGATTTTGAATCTTCTATCAGATCTCCTCTCTGCTTTCCCTTCCCCACAGAAGACATCCCAACTTTTCCAATCTATTTTCATAACTGAAGTTCCTCATCCCTGAATCCATTCTTGCAAACCATTTCTGCACTCTTTCCAGTGTTTGTACAATTTTCCTAAAGTGTGGTGTCTAGAATTGGAAGCTGAGGTCAAACCAGTGTCTCATATATGTTTGTCATAAGCCCCTTGCTCTCATACACTATGTCCCTAATAATAAAGCCCAGGGTACAGTGTGCTTTAATAACTGCTCTCTCAACCTGTCCTGCCACCTTAATGATTAATGGACATAAAAAGCCAAGTCCCTCTGTTCCTGCATACCTTTGAGAATAATCTCCTTTGTTTTACATTATCTTGATATGTTCCTCCCTCCAAAATGTATCACCTCATAGTTCTCTGCTTTGAACTATATCTGCCAAATATCTGCCCACTTTATCAATTTGCATACGTCCTATTCAAATTC